TTAGCACGAGATTCTAATTAAAATTCATTTCATTAGTTTGTATTTATTTTGTTTATTAGAACAATGTAAGTTGTTGATATCGGCAAGAGCTAAGGTTGTGTTATATGGTTAATGACTCTGTTTGCCCAACTATTGAAAAGACTTCTTTATGAATAAGATATGCACATATAAATTATATTTGAATTACATTCTGACAATTAAATATTACTTCTTTTGTCATAGTTTCATCCCTATAATTGTTGCCTTAGTTTTTAGCCACACACGATGGGAGTATCCTTTTGAATAGGACAAACTAATAATGATTGTGAAGTCAAGGGGTGTATGGAACCAGCAAAAGATGCTGGCTTGAAGGAGTATTAGTATGTAAATATTGTATGGCATGTGTCTGTGTGGCATGTGTGTCTTCCATCTTGAAGAGGGGAGTTGACGGAAGATTTGGAGTAAAGGGTAAATCACTCCCTATTAAATCTTATATGAAACCTATACTAGTACAAGAAGTAGTAAATTATAAATATTGTTTGTATTTATGTTGTAATGAAAAAATAAATCATGATTATGATTGACAGAGGGTGTTGTTTTAGCATATTAACTATCAAAAATTAAATGTCATTTGACCTATATAATGTCTCATTGGATAAGTGTGAATGATGGGTTCAAATTTCATTAAATCAAAAGGACAAGGCATAAGATAGTGTGTTGATGCATGATATTAAAAAAAAATTGGATTCAAAGTCTTATTAATTTACGATTTATATTTTTTTTCATGAGTAAGACATTTGAATTAAGTCCTAATGATGATCAATGCAAAAAAAATTATTTTGTCTAAAAGTCGTGAATTTTGTCAATTTGGTTTGTTTCATTTATTTTAATGTGGTAGCATACATGATAAGTTGAAAGAGACATTTTTTTGTGATTGTACAATGAATATAGGCATGAGAAAGAGACTTATAATGGTCATCAATATGGCTAAATGAAGAATATTATGGGTTCTCCAAATAGTCCTTCAAAATGTGAAGGTAATTTTTACAACCAAAGAAATGGTATGAAGGTCATTGAACTTGTGATTGTTGTCGACCTAATAATTTGACAAGTTTATAAATCTCCCATCAAAAGATAAAAATATAAAGTGATGGTACACTTGATCTTTCAAAGTAATGTTGAGGTGTATCATGAAAATATGATGAATTTTAAAGTCATCACAATGTACTTATAATGCAAATTTATGAAGTACATATAAATGATTAGTCCATTTCATGAAGAGAATGTGATTTGTGATGAGTATCGTAAATAATCGGCCATTCTATAAGAGAATGGGTCAAGATGTGACAAAATCATTATGGGTTGAATATATGCCACAACTCACGTCTATGGAAGGTTTGAGAAAAAATGATATATGTCACACCTCATCTCTACGGGAGATTTGAGAGAAATAAATAAATTTTACGTCATGAATATTATGGTATGTTTGTTATGAACTACCAAAAAGGCAAAAAGAAAAAAGTAATTAATTCTTGCCTTATCAAGTATATTGTGTGGCAATACAAATTTGTCATTGGTTGTGTGCCTATGGTACAATAAAAGTAAAACAAGAAACATATTTTACTCGTAATGTTTTGACCATGACAATAATAATATAATTTTCTCCTTGAAGGAAATACTCACCATAGGGATGGTGTCATGCAATATGGGATAGTACACAAAATTAATAGCAAGCTCTAACGAGTTGTGTCATTACCAGAGGAATAATAATGCAGTTGTAGTAAGTCTCAAAAGAAACTTTTTAAGTTTCGGATGAATTGAAAAGAAATATTGAGACTATAAATTATGAAAAGATTTATTATTTTCATATTACTACAACCGAAAAGGTTATAAATATTTATGCAAATGATTACCCCACTTTTCCTCTTGTTTGTTGCAGACAAACATGAACATGCTGATGAAATTACATGCAAAAGTAAATTATACGTGTACTGAAATAAATATCAGTTGGCATGACTAGTTGACCATCATGGTTTGAATGTAATGCAAATATAATTGAGAATTCATGTGGTTTGTAACGAAGAAACAAAAGATTTTTCAAAAACTCTCTTGTGTTACTTGTTTTCATTGTACCAGCTAAAGTTGGGATTGTAATCCCCTAAAATTTTTGAAACATATAAAAAGGTGATTGTGGGTCCGTTCACCTTCCATGTTGATCTATGCGATGGTCACATGTGTTTTGTTGTCAACTTACAAACTGAATTTTGTAAAGTTGTTTGCTTGAATTGATAAAATTAAGAGCACAGTTCTAAACTACAAAATTATATTGATAATGCTGGTTGATTTAGCAGAAATTGTATGCCTCCAATTAAAGCTAAATCATGGTTATGAGAACAAAACTCCCAAATAAAATTTAGTATGAGATAGGTAACATGTATCAACTGTATGCATCAAGCCAACAAGGTTTCCCCATTAAAATGTGTTCAGGGTCAGGAGCCAAATAATTTTCATCTAAAAGGTTGAATGTGCAGTTATGATCTAAGTAATCTACCACACACAAATATGAATTCCCAAATAAGGTTGGGATGAATGTTAGATTTGCTAACATTAGGGGGAGAGATAATTGACAACTGAAAATTATGTGTGAGTTTAATTATGAATTATATAGATCCTCGTTAAATAAATATGTGAACTTAAAGTTTAAGAGATAATTCATTTGCATAATGTTGCAAATCAATTGTCAGACGATTGTACTGATCCTATGATATAATTCAGCTGCAAATACTTAAATGTGAAGTCCTTGAAGGACAACGTCTATGATACGCCAAAAGTGTAATAGATCAATCGATTCCAAATATAAAATTTCTTGAAGAAGGAAGGAGCAAATGATCAATATGTTCATGATAATGAGGCAAGTGCTATAAAAGTGCACATTGACATAACACTTCGGGAAAGGTTTAGGTACCTGAAAAATGATGAAAAATGAAGAGATCTCGATAAGTTATGTCTTGTTGGATCAATATCAAATAACCGTCGACGGTATCTTTGATATGAGGTAGCGCTCAATGATACACATTGTGAGAGGATCTTGAATTCAAATCTGTCATATAGTGTGGACAGATAAATGGTTGGCCAAGTAAAATGCATTATTCAAGTATATTTTGTTTCACTTAGAAAAGTGACGTTTTGAACTGGTACTCCATAAATAAAGGTATAATGACAGTGATGTACAAATAAATTATTATGCGATAACTATAACCGTAAGATATCAAATAAGGTTTGTGTCTTAGGGCATAAAGGTTTGTCGCAAAAATTCTGATATTATTGGAGATGTTTTCTGCTTTGGTGGATGCAATGAGGTTTGTTTTGATCTGGCAACATATGAAAAACTTGAATGCATGTAATGAATAATTGTAATGTCTAGCTAGATATTGAAGGTTATATGAAAATCCTTGAAACAATCGAGATGTCTGAAGCATATAAGAGTTTGAAAGAAATTTTTTCAATAAAGCTTCAAAATCCTTATATGGATTGAAATAGTCAAGGAAGAAAAGGGTACAAAAGAATGAGCCTAATTGTCCTTGTATTTTATGAAAAGGTCTTAGTAAGACAAAATTTTGTCTTCACCTACAGATTGATAATTTGACAAATGAAATATTTGTCTATCAGTGCACATACACAAATATGTTTTGATGCATTTTTATATGGATAAATCAAATTCATCGAGTACCCAATGATTATGAGATCGCTTGACATAAATGATGATTCAGTTTGATCTCAAAAGAAGGATGAAGAGATTCTTGGTGATGAAACTTCATATCTTAATGCAATCACGGTCTTAATGCATCTCGCTAACAATACTCGACCAGATTTCTGTTTTGCAGTAAATTTACTGGCATGATTCGGTTCTTCCCCAACAAAAGTACATTGAAATGGTGTTATATATATACTTGAATATCTTTGAAGGACCATAGACATGGGTTCATTTTATTCTGAAAAATTCAAGCCAGAGCTGATTGGTTACGCAAATGCAGAATATTTATCTGATCTGCATAAAACACAATCTCAAATACGATATTTATTTTCATGTGGAGGCAGAATAATATCCTAGCGATCGATAAAGCAAATGTTGATATAAGAAATAAAATTCCTCCATGAAACAAGTCGAGAGTGCATCTGGTTGAGATAAATGACACACCATATTCAAGAAATGTGTGGGTTTTTTTGAAAAAAACCAACCACAATGTATGAAGATTGGAGATATCATCGCAAGAAATTAAGTGATGTTATAATCAAGGGAAGTATAATATGTGTTGCACTCTTTTTTCCTTGACCGAGGTTTTGTCCCACTGGGTTTTCCTGGTAAGGTGTTTAATGGGGCAACAAATAATGCGTATCAAAAAATATGTATAATCTTTTTTCCTTCACTTCAATTTTTTTCCCACTAGACTTTTTCATGTAAGATTTTAACGAGACACATTATCTATGGACATCTAAAGGGGAGTGTTATGAATCCATTGAATTGTGTAAATTGTCCTTTAGATATACTCAAGACTTAATTGTATTCATGTATAACATGTTTCCAAGATGATAAGAATCATTTGGATAACAATGTATCTACTATTGTGGCATTAAAAATAGTGATCTTTTGATTGATTTCTCAACCTATAAATAGAGATATCATTCACCATTGTAACATAAATTTGAATAAGAAGAAAATTCTTCTTCTTCTATCTACTTCTCTAGTCTTCTTCTCTATTTGATTATATTCTTATGAGTTTGATTTTATAACAATTTTATTATTATCTTGGTGTTGTATTTTTTAAAAAGGTAAGAATTTTTATATTCTAAAACTTGGACAATCATGACAAAGTGGTAAAATTGTAACTATATATATATATATATATATATATATATATAACACAATTAATTTTTTAACCTTAATTAGTTCAGTTAACTTATAAAAATCATTTCAATAAAAAATATTTAAACTAAAGTTTTGAGTTGATTAATCTTCCAAGTATGAAATAGAAATATAATATTGACATGACATATTTTCAAGGTCCAGTTATTCATCCATCTTGTGACAAGAAGTGGAGTGAAGCATTCACTTGACTAAATACAATTACAAAAGTAAGAAATTCAAAGCATAGATTGTGGTCCATATCAAAACATAAGTATGTACTACAACTATTTACATCAAAAGAGTAGGAGGGATAACTAGAGTTGGAAGTCCAAAACACCAACTGTGCTCTTCTTCAGTATAAATGTGCCTGCAATTATACAATTTCTGTTTTTATACATGGTCACATATTATATTATTATACACAAGAAAGAATTGCAGCCCCAATTCACCTGTTAATACATAATAATTCTCTTCCCATCGTCGAACCAAAAATAACAAAAGTAGAAAGCAATATTCATATCCTCCCCAAAAGGTTTTGAGATATCACAGGAAGAAAATTGAGGAAAGACCTACCTACTATCTTCTACAGTAAAAAAGTTCACCAATCAAGATCTGATTCCTCAAAATGGAATGTTATCATTCACACAAAATGTTCGTCACTTTCACCACTTGAGTGTAATACTAGACAACTACTTCCAATTTTCCCCCAATAGAGAACTCTATCTCATAAACATCACAAATTTATGATATCAAGGATAACAATATACTATGGCATTCTTGATTCACCATTCATCCATAAAAAATTTAACAAAATTCTTTTTAAAATTATCTCAAGCAGTGGTGTACAAGTATATACAAATTCTAGTTTAGTTAAGGGCATGGGACCTATTTGATTCATGTGATCAAATATGGAACAAAAAAACTTAGAAAGGACATCTCAGTTCATTGGATTAAGCAATGAAAATTATATGGTCAGACTATTCTGAACTGCGTAAAGCTTAAGTAACTATTTTAACTTGAAAAAAGTTTATGTTTCTTCATCACATAACACCAGTGTGATTTGATATTGTCGCTGCCCAAACAAGTTTCTTATATACATGTCAATCACAATTTTAAGACATAAGCTGCACCACTTACAGAACCACAAAGCAAATAGTAGCTTACATCCTCATCACTACCAATGGAAAGAATGAGAGATATCAACAACTAATACCAGGAAACAAATGCTGATTCGTTCAAGTACGAGACCATTAAATTCTACTGTTCATAAAGGGGATACAAGGTACCTTGACCTCATTCATTGCTCAAAGCTTTAACATCAACCCTTTTAAAAAGAAATCATCTCCTCTATAAGGATAAAACAGAAAAATTTAGCAAAGAATTGACAAATATATCATAACTGTCATTGGTAAAGCAGAATGACCAACCTCTTCTTTAAGGCTTTCGTGTTTCCTCCTTTATATTGATTATATTGTTTATTCAGATCCTTTTCCTCATCATTGGAATGGAGCTGAACAAGGCTTCTGAAATAAACATAGCTATTGAAATGTAGAAAGCCACGTAAGCCCCAATTTCAGTATCAACAATCTTTGTAGAGTCATCATTAATAGTATTCCAACGGAATCGGTTATTATTTGTTCCACAAGAATTTTCTTTCTATCTTTTGAAAATTCAAGTGGAACCATAGTATGGCCAATTTTGCTTATTTGGTTCGTCCAGTGAAGCAACCATAGTCCACGAGTCCTTAACTCCATATTCCTTCATAACCCAAATGTCCACATGGTCCATAAAAAGATCCACATTCCCCCAATCACCATAAGAATCTATCATGTAGGTTTTATATGTGCAAAGGGAGCTTTCTAATACGGCTAAATTCAGAATGCAATTCATATAAGTAAAAGGGGTTCGCGGTACAAGTAGCCACTTTTCTGTTGCAAGTAGAAGCAACAATTAGGGATTCAAATGTATCAACAGGCATCCTCAAGATATATGCAGTAACAACCCAATGCAATGAACCATTTAGATATGTACCTGGTAGATCTACATACTTAAGGTGATAAGGAGGAAGTTGTTCATCAACCCGGCTCCAACAACTTGATTTCAAACTATAATTCATAACATGAGATTGAAAAGAACCCTTTTCAGAACCGGGAAACTGAACAATTCTAACAACCTTATAGTCATCATTGATAACATCATACCCAAATCAAAAATTAACCCTAACTTCATCATTTCTAGCAATCCCTAGAGATGGTAGTTGTATTTTCCAGTTGAGCGATTCCATAAAGCAATTTCATCAAGAGTATTTGATATCAACAACAACCCATTACAAGAACCAAGTATGTTGGTATTAAATTGAGAAGAAATTAAAGGGTTTGTCAATTCTTTGGGAGTAACAACTCGGGAATTGAGTGAATCAAAGAGTAGAGAGTAAAAGCAACTATTTCCATATCCATAATAATCAACTTTTCTAAAGATTAAGCAATGGGGTTTGAGAGAAAAAATGAAATGCAATTTAGCAAATTGAGGAGTATAAATAAGATTCAGCCAAGCTTTTGATACACACCTACAACGTAAAACAGGATAAACGGGTAGTCGATGGAGGATTTCCTCCGCAACATCTAATGGAAAAGTTGAGATTGTGTACAATGGCCGACTCAGCTTTTGGACTCTGCATTCATCATATATCGTATTCGTGTGTGAGGCGGGTTTTTTTTTGCTTCTGAAATGCCTAAAATCCTCAATTATTTCATTTCCATAAATGCCTCTATTCAATTCATCAATTATACTCTTTTCTTTTTTTAAAAAAAATCTACGTTCTCTTAATTTTTAATTAAACGATTAAAAGTATCTATATCGTTTTCCATGGAAGTTCCAATCCTATTTAATGCTCTCCTTAATTAAAGTATTTATAATTTTATCCTTTACCATAATTTTAATAAATTCTTTAGTTACATGTCGTGTAATTTAAGTTGCAAAATTTTCATTTCCCATCAATTCACTAAATTTGAATTGTTTTTCACCATGAACTTTTGATCTCTATTACATAAATAATTCTATATCTCAATTGTTTTCACTAATCAGACATAATGTGTGTTGACGACATGACTCTACTATCCCCCAAAAAATATCTTTTGAAGGATTAAATGACCAAAGAACTTATTAGAATTTCGCTAAAAAATTTATAAAAAATTAAAATATTTTTAATCTTAAAATAAATTAATCTTTTCTCTAGTTTTAGTTAAAAAATATTAAAGTAAAAAGGATAAAAATATTTTAAAAGGTAAGACAACATTTTAAAAATATCATTCTGGTCAAAAAGATTTTTCTTTCCTACTATTGTCTAGATCCATTTCTTCATAGCTTGGTGAATATTAAATATATATATTTATAGTAATTATATATATATATATATATATATATATATATATATATATATATATCCCAACTTTTTTTAATTTTAATATTGTCCAACATTTTCATGTTGATGTTATTTTTCTTATATTTAATCTATCTAAGAAATATATTTGGAATACAAAGTAGCAATAAATACTTCTTCTTAACCATAATTTTAAAAAAACAACACCATCATTTCGTGACTGGATCATATTTCTTAATTTACCTAATAAAGAATCCACATTTAATAAGATAAAGAAACAATCAAGGTGCATTGCCATTTTTCTTTTAAGTTTCAACAATCAATTCAACAATAAGTCAGCCAGACATTCAAAATTTGTTGATAAATAACTCAAGAAAAAAATTTACACTGTCTTTAAATATTTTTTCCTTTCCTTTATTATTTTTCTTACAAAAATGAAAAAAGTAACATTTTACTGTTAAGCACCCTACTCAATAAATTAGAAAATGGCAGCACATTCAAAGCAAAATATAACAGGCATCTAACTACCGCTCACGACAAAAAAAATGAAAAGGAAAAGATTCTAATATGTCATTAAACTTTCAGAAAAGACTTATTTATGCCATTATTTTTTAACGGTGGTTTTGCAAAACCATTTTTGACACGTGATTAATAATAATTCTTTCACGTCAATAATTTTTTTAATTAAAAAAATTAATATTTATATAAATTTTGATTTTTAATAAAAAAATTGATGACGTGGCCAAAATATCATTGGTCACGTGTCAAAAATGGTTTTGCAAATCAATGTTAAAAAATAATGGCATGAATGAGTTTTTTCTTTAACGGTAATGACATAAATAAGTCAAACTTTGAACTAATGACATAATTGAGTCTTTTCTGAAAGTTCGATAGCATATTTGAACCTTTTCCCAAAAAAAAAAAAGTCGTGCATCCATTTTACAATTATGAAAGAACCGCACTAGATTTTATTTAAGAATCGTCATCCGTATTCTATTTAAGTTGACCTATTTTTGTCTTGTGAAAAAAGTGGACCAAATGAATAAGAAATAGGATAGTCGCCATTGTATTTCACGGTTGGGCAAATGATTAGCTAGGTAACTACGTTTTATGTATACCTGCATAATCTGAACTCGACTTCCCATCCAACATCATCTTAAACTTGTAGCACAACTGAACTCAATGTCCAGGGAGGACCTTCATTTTTGAATATTTTTGTCAGCAACAATGAATCCGTCTTAAAGAACTCCCTCCATGTTGTACATATGAGACAAAAATGAAATTCAAAATCATTATTTACAATGAATAAGCTCATAAGAGAGTCAATTCAGTTGTCACAATATTCTATAAATAGCTAAAGCTAATTAAAAAAATGCATTAACTTACTGGTGCTCTCTTTAGTAGAGGGTCAATATCAGCCTACCACATCAACAACCACATTGCACTCATTTAATTATGTAGTTTTACTTTCCGAGAAATCGCAGAATATCAAAATTAGATATGAAGTGCACGAGCCACAAAATATTTCTATAATTGTACCTGATTGAAGTATTTTGACAACCATTAACAGTACCTTGTATTCTGATAAGTAAATGGCTATTCAACCTCAACCTTTATCAAGAAGCACAAGCTTAGGATAGAATACTACTTGATTTGTGCCTCATTTTGTTGTCAATAGCTCATCATTGTGGAACTTCAATGCTTCTACATTCACCTAATGCACAAATTGTATCAAATGTTTAAAGTTTGACGCAGAATACTAACAATGCACAAGTAGTGTCTAAATATTAGTCACAAACAATGTGAGAATAACAAGTTGCAAAAACATCAACATCATGATTGTTTCACGAAACTTGTAAATAAACATCAAACCACATACTTCCCAGTAAAACAAGACTTAGGCCTTCCGAGTTACTCTATTATAATGAACATAAAAGTTTCATAAAACTCAAGGATCCATGTCTTTAGTTCTTACTTGGATCTTGAATCAAGAAAAATTTGATAATAGTAAATTCAACAATAGAATAATTTGTTAACTAGTGCATAGAGTTAACAAGCTGAATGGTTGAGTTAGCTAAATCATAAGTGTAGTCAACTAAACAGAATGCTGAGCTGGTAGTAGATAGTTACAAATCAATTTTAGATATTTTTGTATCTGTGACCTTATGTAAAAGTATAAAAAGGATAGTGGTACAGATTCAATGTATCAGATCTTATAATAATCAATACAATTCCTTCTTCTCTTTCACTCTCACTGTAAATTCACCTAAAAATAAATCTCCATTAATGGATCTTTCATGGTATCAGAGCATTCGATCATAGGATTCTGAGTCCATAGAAGCAACTATCAGGTACTCAGATTCATCATCTGTTAAAGGTGAATTGAAAGGAAGCATCAAAAGGTTAAGCTAGCTCAAATGATGAATGGAAGTGCAGCTGAAGGTACTGGCACTCGAAATGGAAATGGAGTTACAAGGATAGTCACATTTCTAGTGATTGATTACAATAATCCACTATTTATTCAACACACAGACACTCCAGGTAGTTCTCTAATCTCTCTTCAGTTAACAGGTTCAGAGAATTGTGCTCTTTGGAGTAGATCTTTTAGGATTAACTTAGTTGGGAAAGCAAGTTAGGCTTTGTAATAGAAGGTTTCCTAAACTATGTCTGAACCATTATTGCATGATCAGTGGGAAAAGTGTAATGCAATAGTGTTAAGTTGGATTATGAACGCAGTAAGCCCAGGACTTCTAAGTTTTTTTGTGTATGTGTCTGATGCACGCAAAGTTTGGATGGATCTAAGAGCAAGGTTTGATACAGTTAATGGATAGAGAATTTTTCAATTGCATAGAGAGATTCATACATTAGTTTAGGGAACTATGTCGGTTGTTGAATATCACTCTAGGTTAAGAGACCTATGGGATGAATATGATTCTTTTATGCCATGTCCTAGTTGTCCTTGTCCTGAATCAAGGAAATTTGGGGAGCATTGTGATTATCAAAGGTTGTTGCAGTTCTTAATGTGACTGGATGAGTCATATGCCTCTCCTAGAAGCCAATTACTCATGATGAGTCCTATTCTAACTCTTAATAAAGCTTATGCATTGATCATTGATCAAGAGAATCAGAGGACTTTGGCTAGTGGCTTGACCTGACGCGCGCCTGCCCCCTAACCGAATTGGGTTGGGCTTGGTCACTTGGTCGATAGCATATGTGCAAGTACATGTGTTTACGTGCACTCTCTTAACCATGTATTCTGTAGTTGCACATGGAAAGTTCACTTCTTGTCCCAAGGATCCTCACTATGTACTTGGGCACTGCTTAATCTACATAATCATTTTTAATGATTATTTGCGATGGTACCTAGGCTTGACACTTGGATGCCTCGTACCTAATGTGCTAAGAATTCAAAAAATTTAGCTTAGGGTCTTCATTGCAGGTACAATTCCTAAACAAGATTGGATTAGAGAATTTGAACATCAAAGTGTATTTTAAGGTACTTGTTAATACATAGAAATGGGATAACATCCTTAAGCCAATATTCTCTAACATGCCAAATATTACTCAATATTGGGCATTGAGATGCCTATGTACCCCAATACATATTCTTAAAACCTAATAGACTCTTCACTAGACAAGTACATATTTGGGAATGTTACAAAAGCCTACTCAACTCTTACTGAACCAGTGTCATTTCAAGAGGTTGCTGCTTATCCTGCATGGGTCAAAGCTATGGAGTTGAAATCGCAGAACTTGAGAGTAACAAAACATGGAGCATAGTTGACTTACCACCTGGAAAGAAGCCTATTGGCTGCAAGTGCATTTACAAGATACAATTTATAGCCTTAGGAGAGGTTATAAGGTTTAAGACCAGGTTTGTCGCTAAAGGTTTCAATCAACAAGAAGGGCTGTATTGTGGGGAAACATTTAGTCCAGTAGCAAAGATGGTGACTTTGAGATTAGTGGTGGCCCTAGCTGCATCTAGGGCTTGGTATATCCATCAAATGGATGTTCACAATGCCTTTCTCAATGGTGACATACAAGAGGAAGTATACATGGTGATTCCTTGTGGGTTTGCTAGATAGGGGGAGTGTCAAAATGTCTGCAAACTACATAAGTATTTATATGGTTTAAGCAAGTTCCTAGACAATTGAATATGAAGCTAACTGATGTTCTAGTTCAGATGGGGTTCAAGCAAAGTTACTATGATTATTCTCTCTTTACAAAGAAACTGGTAATGATGTGGTAGTGATATTTGTGTATGTAGATGATCTTCTAATCACTGGAAGCAATCATGAAATGCTGTGCAGTACCAGACAAGATATTAAAAAAGGTTCAAGATGAAGGATTTGGGATAACTAAAATTCTTCCTAGGATTTTTTTTCTAGA